TTTTTTTTTTTTTTTTTTTTTTTTTTTCATTTTCCCCCCTTCAAACTTAAAAAATTATTATATTATTATATTTCAATTATTGTTGAATATAATTAAATATTGTTGGGTTGGTTTTATTAATCTCCAACAAATATACCTAAAATTAGATTTGCAACCGGCAACCTGAGACGGATACCTATATATATATATATATATTTTTTGTTTAAATTAACCCTAAACTCGACCCTAAACGTAAAAAAAATAAAAAAAATAAAAAAAATAAAAAAAAATCAATTTAGTTGGTTAATTACACACTAATGTTAAACAAATTTGTCAAAAATTATAAATGAAATAAAAATAATTTTTTTAAAAATTTATTAGAGGATTAAAATACCTTTATTTGTCTAATTTTGAGATGCAATTCAATTAAATTAAAATTTGGTCGGACCATAATAGTATTTTATTAAATAATTTTTAATTAGGTAAGTTTGACTCTTCGATCTCAGCTCTTGAGCTTCTCGAGAGAATGAGAATGAGACAGGGATTCATAAGCCAAATCTGAATCAAAGATTTGGTTAAATGAGCCCACCGCTCCATTCTTATATAAAGTAACTCGACCATCCGTTCCAATCTTTTTTTGCTCATATATATTAATAACAAAATATTTTAATAAGTAAATGTGAATGGTATGGGATGAAATTATGTGTTCAAATATTTTTAATAAAATAATTTAATGAAATATATATATAAAATTTAATAAATATTTGTTTTTTTGTTTTTGGTTATAAAATAACGAAATTGAGAATCTTTATTGTATCAAGGGGGAAGTTCAGAATTTTTAAAGAGAAGTAAATTTGAAAGGACATAAATAAACTGTAGTGAAAATTGTAAATAATGAAAGTAGAGGGGAAGAATTGAAATTTACTTAAAATATAGGGCCTACGGTTTTTAATCCGTGTCAGGTATCACGCTTGCGGAGCGGAAAGTGGGTGGTTTGGGGGACATATTGGCAAATGATGAAAAGACAGGGGCACGTGCGTAAAAGCTTGAGCTTAAAGTCGCATCGTAGCCAGAGGGTCGGTAGAGAGTTTTTTTGGTGCTCTCTCCCTCGCGTAATTTCTGTGTCTTTTCCTCGCTGTGTTTTCTCTTCCATCTCTGGTAAGGTCAAGTTTCCAGTTGAATTCTGGATTCCATTTCGCGATCTTCGATAACGGTACCGATCGCTATCGCGATCGCGATTTTGGTTGTTGTAAGAACTCAAAGAAGAACAATTTGAGGAAGAAGATTCAGAGTTCAATCATTTATGGAGGCTGATTCGTGGAATGCTCACTTTCAGCTTTCATCTTCGCGACGCTACCGATCTCGGTCCGGTACGTTGCCGACGTTTTGTTTCGGAAATTATATGTTTAGTTCTGAATTTTTCATGGAAATGGCCGCTATTTTTTTTTGGTGATCTTTCTTGATTGTTTGGTGCAGGTGTGTACCAAGGAGATCATGAAGAAATTGAAGATGAAAATTCGAGGGCTGAGTTTTTGTGCCCTTTTTGCGCCGAGGATTTTGATATTGTAGGTCTTTATTGTCACGTCGACGAGGAGCACCAGGTGGAAGTCAAGAACGCGGTACGCCGAATTGATTATTTTGATTTCTAACCTAGATATGGCCGATCTATAGCATCCTTTATAAAAAAATTTAGAAATGTTATGTTTTGGTTCAGATTATTATGTACTTATTGTCTAGCTGATAAATGTAGAATTGTATTATTCTGTTCAGCTTCCTATGATGAAAACTGTGCATATTTGTATAAATATGCATCTTCCTGTCTTGATCTGTTTCGATTCCGATTATTGTCTCTTTAGCAGCGTTATTTCTTTATTTATTCTCGGTAAGGTCATTTTCTGAAGGTGCCAAACTGCGTTTCTAGATTCTGCTGCTTAATCTAGGATGGTATAGAACTAGAGATCATCATGAATAGGGAAAATATGAGAACAGAACTTTATTTTGTCTGACCAATGAATCCCTAGACTTTGTTCACTTTTCAGCATGTTTATATCAACTCCTACTTTGTTACTCCACTATGTGTTGAGAAGAGGAAATTAAGTGACAAATGTAAATGATTATTGTCTTTACCATTCCTTATTTTGTTCTTCCTTAAAGAAATCACTAGTACATTATGCAACCAATTTTTCTAATTGTATCTGATACTAGCGACTTCAAATTTTGTCAAATGGAGCTTCCCCTCGTTCTGTATGTCTCTGGATTGCTTGATTCTTTTATCTGTATGGACATTGTGAAGATGCCTTTAAATCTGGGTGTAAGTTTTATCTCACGATAGAGTATTATTGTAATTTCAGGTATGTCCATTATGCACAAAGAAGGTCGGAATGGATATTGTTGGCCACATCATCTCACAACATGGGAGCCTTTTCAAGATATCCTTAATTTTCGTTTTTGTTAATTTATATTCTGATTCTGGATATTGTTTCCATCATAACCAACTCAAATTTCACAGGATTTCTTACCTTTTTTTCTTTTCACCTAGAATTTGAAGATTTGGGAACTTTTAAGTTTGAGCAAAATTTAATGTATGATGTGAAAAGCCATTAGTGTTTTTAGAGGATGGTGTAGCTGTTAGTACTAGTGGTTATGTCAATTCCTCACATTGATGGCCAATCCTGTCTGTCAATCCCCTTTATTTTCTGTTTACTGATTTGTAGTTTCTACACTTCCTTGACTAAAAAATACGTGCAGCGACAGAGGAGATTGCGAAAATTTGGATCTAGTTTGACATTTTCGAAGCTGAGAAAGGAGCTTAGGGAAGGAAACTTGAGATCCCTTCTTGGTGGTTCTTTACACTCTGCCCCCACCAGTACTGAACCTGATCCATTGTTGTTTTCGTTTACTTCTAATCTGCCTACCGTCAGTCAGCCATCTAAAGTGCAGTCTCAACTGTGGGCTGAAGTAACTTCATCACAGGAAAGTTCCAAGGCTGACTGTTCAGGGAGGAGGTAAGAGACGACACCACCCCACCCCCCCCAAGCACAGTTTATACTTTGTTGCCTGCATGTTATAATGGTTAGATGGAATTGGAAAATACAACCCTTTTTGTGCATGTTATTCCATTTTGTGATGACCCATTCATTTGTTGTATCTATATCTTATATGATATAATACAAGAAGAGAAAATCCATTTATATCCCAAACTCTGGGATTGTATCACTTAAAACTCAAACTAACCTCTTATAAGTTAATCAATTCAGAGAGTCTGAATTGATTCATGTATGAAGGTTTAGGGTTAAAATTGATACAATCATTAGTTTGAGGTTTTAATTGATACATCCCCACAACTTAGGGTTATAAATTGATTTCTTTTGCTATAATATATTGTACTCTATGACTTCTTTTTGTTCCCGTATAAAGTCTGAATCCCGAACTTATTCTGGCAGCAACGTCTCAAGGCTGAGGGCTTCAAATAAGGATCAAAAGGAGAAGGCTCAGAAATGTGAATTTGTACAAGGGCTGTTGATGTCTACTGTGCTTGATGAGTTATGATTTGGTATAGGTTCAAGTATGGAACCGAGAGCGTAGGTTATCAGAATGGATCGATCTGATATGAATATTGCAACGGGTGGCAATAGATATTAGGTAATCTAAACTTCGCAATGTTCTATTATCCAAAAGTATATATGTGCATAAATGGAAAGATGGAAGGTTCTTGTTTTATCAACATTTAGTAACATGATATGATACTTCAACTCTTGATCGTAGATGATCTCCAATTCATCCTATAATTATGGTCCTCATCCGCTAGAGCTTAAGAGCTTTGAAAACTGTTTTAAATGTTGCTTAGGCTTAATTAATGTGTTTGTAGACTTTGGTGCTTCTTAGGTTTATTCTAAGATCTGGATCGATCGAGCTGAAGCATGCCTGCCTGTTCTGCTTTTTTTCTTTTTTTATTGTTTTCAATTTTCAATAATTGAATTAATTAGCCTTTACTATACTATTAAGGCTAATTCTAGTAATAGAATTCAAAAGGATTAATTAAGTTTGAAAAAACTAAAGATTTTTGGTTCATATATTTAATTTATGTAATTTGGGATAAACGCCATGATGTCCGATGTCCGATGTGGAGGAGAACAAACCACCATTTATATTTATAAGGGTGTGGAAACCTTCCTCTAGCAGACGCGTTTTAAAGTCTTTAAGGGAAACTCGAAAGGGAAAGCTCAAAGAGGATAATATATGCTAGCGGTGGATCTGGGTCGTTACAAATGGTATCAGAGCCAAACACCGGACGATGTGTCAGCCTTCTCACTGTTCCCCGAAGTGGGGTAGACACGAGGTAATGTGTCAGTAAAGACGTTGGGCCCCGAACAGGGGTGGATCTGGTGGCGGTCCCCCATCGATTAAAGGGAGTGCTAGTGAGGACGCATTGGTCCCGAAGGGGGGTTGATTGTGATGAGGAGAACAAACCACCATTTATAAGAGTGTGAAAACCTTCCGTTTTAAATTTTTGAGGGTAAGTCCGAAAGGAAAAGCCCAAAGAGGACAATATTGGCTAACGGTGGAGCGTTACATCAAATATATATGTTTTATGTGTAGATTTGTTTGTGTCGGGCAACTTAGACTCCTTTTGAAACCCAACTGGGAACTAAATACTCTAAATTTTATAGCTGAAATATATATATTTCTTTTTTAAAAAAAAAATAAATAAATGGAGTACACGTTAATGTAACATCCTTTTTGAAACTGTATACACTCTGTGACAGCTCGGTAACTTTAGCACAATAATTTATTAATGTATTGAATTATTGTTGGTTTTTATTATTTCTTACCTTTTTATTCGGGATGATTTTAGGATTATTTTAAAATTTATTTATATGTCATATAAATAATTTAAGCATTTAATTATGTTAATTGATTGGTTCAATCATATATATATATATATATATATATATATTTTAATTTTGTTTGTGATAATTGAGATAAATATTATAATATCAATTATGAAAACTTAGAATATGGAGTTATTATAATATAAAAAAAATGAAATTGACCATTAAAAAAAGATGATTGGTCAGTTTAGCGTCAAAATATTTGAGTGGTTGACTTGACCGTAATTCATGAAAAATTGTGATAAATGCATTATCAAATTAATAGAAGGAATTGACGATATGATAAGATTAATTAATGTTTTTATAATATTATGAAAAATATAAGATATAGTCGAGGTTTTGATTAAAGCAAATAAACTTAATGATTTCATTTATTTTTATAATTTTTTTAGAAATATTCGTTACTGTTTTCACCAAAATTTCCGTAAAACGAAATATTGACATTTATTTATTTATTTTTTAATAAATTAAATTTTTTTATTTGCCTAGAAAAAGCAATTTGAAACGCTAATTTTTTAATTCTATATTTATGATCTAAGATATTTTAGTTGAAAATTAAATCGTAAATTCAAGGTGACGTCGTCTCAAAATTATCATTTATAATTAAAATAAAATCGTTTAAAGAGCTTTAATTTTTCTTTTTACTTTCTGTTTAGTGTTTTTAGATTTTCTTCCATTGGCACAAAAACCTGAGTACCAAATTTGAACTCTCGACCTAAAGGGTCGAATAATGTATTCTTCTTCTATGAAAATCAACTATAGATTTATCTTCACGTTTTTATTTAAGCACGTTAGATAGGAACAAATTTGATAAATACTGATAACTCTCAGATGAAGTATTAGAACGGAAAAATCCGAAGTGCTTTTCTTGCATATTCTTGAAAAACCAGCGTTTATATATACATATAGGAAGATCTGTTTGGGAAGTAAGCCGCCCCTTTGACATCTCTTCGTATGCAAACAATTCTCGATGCAAAAACACAGAGACAAAATGCTGATATTTGAATAGGAGCACGATCCCAAATGCGACATAAAGTATGACAGACAGAAAGTGCTACAAAATGCGACATAATTTAAAAACATTATTTACGAAATTAAATGCAAATTTATTTATTGAAACCGAACCATTCATTTTTAAGCTTTGAAAATAGAAGAACCCCACATCCACAAACAACAATCCAAACACTTATTAGAAGAAGAAAGCAAAGCACACATAATTATGTCATTATAACGAAGCTTCTGCAATTTAGTTGAATTCGTTGGGGTTGGCCAAGAGGTAGGCCTCGGCGGCCTTGAGAAGGGCCAATCCCTTCTGCTCGCCGGACTTCAGCTTCTCCTCGTCGATTTGGTGGTCTCCCTTGGTGTGGTAAACGCTTGTGCTCTTCAAAATGGACCCTCCAGAAGGACCTTCAACCACCTTTATTTCCTTTGAAATTTTGTCAATGGCGTCCGATAAAAGCTCGCCTTCTAACACCGTGTACTTGTACGTTCGCGATGCTTCATCTATTACATCCAACCTGTGCTTTATGGTTTTCACTTCATCACCTGATTAATACATCAAGAATGTTTGTTTAATCCTCTATTTATAATCAAATAAATTACAAGAATGCGGAGAGAACAATATATAGAAAAAATTATGAACATTACCGACACTGAAGGAGATGGTCTTGATAGTTCCGGGCCCACCATCTCCTTCGAGAACGGATTGAGGCTGATTTGGCACAATCTTGGGATATAATTGGTCGGCACCAAGGATAAATGCCTTGAAGAACTTCTCTGGAGGAATGACCGACGCCACTTCGTTTTCGTAGGTGAAGACTCCCATTGCTATATGACAGCCCGGTAACTTTAGCAAAATAGAAAAAAATAGAGAATTATTGACTAATAAATAGCAAAGGCTTTGGATTTGAGCTTGGTGATGATGAAGGGTCACAGAAATGGTGTATTTATAGCTCAGAAATGAAAGCTTGCAAATTCCTCCTAAGATTTTAATATTTATTTTAATCGTTCAAAGTTTGATTAATTATTTATTAAGCAATGATGCCGGAAGCATAGCTCCATTTGATTCCCATTATTTGTCATTTATACATTTTTTAAAAAAAATAAAATTATTATTTTAAATAACCTATAATTGACTAAAATTTAATATTATTAAGACAACGAAACGCGGTGACATATTTATTAAACGAAGTTGATTAATTTAAAATAATGAATGAAATTTAGGGTTTCATTATTTATTTATTAAACTGTTTCATTATTTGAATTTAAGGAAATTATGATTCATAAAAAAAAAACATTATAAATTTTTTAGTTTAAATATATATATATATATATATATATATATATTGTAAATGGTTATTGTCTTGAGCTCATTGGAAATGTGTGTGTATATAATTTAATATAAAATACAACGAGTTTGATAAATATTCCACTAGAAGTTATTTAAAATAAATAAATAAATAAATAACCCTTTTGTCGTATTGGGAAATTTTGTGTTGTTGACTTCAATTTCGTGATAAATAAATGAAGGCAATTCATAATTTAAAAAAAAAAATCTTTTGAGATTTATTTTAACAATTTCCAAGATTTGAATATGTTCATCTTATGATAGGAATAAATAAACAATAACCATCAAGTAAAATACTTAAAATTAAAATAAAAGGGAGGACTGAACAGTTGAATTCTTTACAATTTTAATTTTTAAAGTATTTTCATTAATAAAAAATTTAGTTTTTAAATTTTAAAAAATTTATCACAAAATTAAAAATTAAAATTATTGATTAATTCTTTTTTTAAAATTATAAATTTTTTTTCCTAAGTATTCTCCCCCTAGTGTATATATAATTAATTAAAGCATGACTTTCATTCATTTAGTTATTTATGTAATTATTGATTGTTTATTGGTTTGAATACAAAAAAATGTCCATCTCAAGCGACCAATATTTTATTGATTTCCAGAAGCATCAGGCGGACTACCACCATTTTTTTAATAAAATAAACCAGCTGTGTATTAAATAAAATTAAGCTATGACAATTTCTCACAATATTATTTAATAACCATAATGATCCCACAAACAAAGCCTTGAAAAAACTATTATTTTGAATATAATTATTAATATTTTAAAACCGATTATTTTTACTTAACCTGTTGAATTATATTTAGATTTGCTAATTAATTGTTATTTAAATTGTCTAAACTATATTTTATTTAAAGGTTAGAGATGGATGAGAAGGTAATTAAACAGGTCAAAATTTGACTCGTAATGTCAAAATTCATCATCAATCGTTACAAAATAACAGCTAAGTATATAATTGAAGCCTATTTGATTTACCAAAATCGATCATTAGAACATGAAAAAAAGGAAGCTAATTCTCATTATCACTGCTTAATTCAGATTCATATTCTTCTTCCCCATAAAGAACATCGTCGACTTCTTCGTCGTCTTCGTCGTTGCTGCTCTCCCCTCCATCTATCTCGGGACCATGTCGTACCGTCTGGTCGGTTTTGTTGGCCGACGCCCTTTCAATCTATCAAATATGCAAAGGAAAGAAGCCCATCAAGCTTTCTCCAAGAACTCTTTTGAAATAAAATTTTGAATGAAGGATGTGAAAGTAACTCACTTGTGCCAACACCAGTTGCAAACGACCTGATAATTGAAGAAGAGGTTGAACTGCAGTCTCTTTGGATTTAGTAATCTTCAAAACCCAAAGAAAAAAGGATAAATCAACCTTGTTTTAATTAAAATTTTGTTATCCTTAGATAATGGAAAAGCAAAATGGATTACCTTAAACAAAGAATCAAGAATCTGGGTTGACTGCTCTTGAGACAAGATATGTTGATTGTGATTCAACAATAAACTATAAATCCACGGTAGGACGTTCTTCCCGCTACG